ACACACACACACACTGCTCAGAAAATGAGGACGCGTTCCTCATACACACACCACTGCAGAGCGGCATACACTGAAGCCTCATACACACCCAGACATGTGTGGCTCATGCTTATCAACACTATGACAGGTATGCCGTATGCGGATGTGCAAACTCACTCCCTGACACTAGGTGGCGCTGAATGAAGAACAGAGATGCTGCAGTACACAGGGTGCTTCACACCCGCCTCATTTCAGATCCTCTGCCTTTTTGGTGCGGTTGATTTGGGAAGGGTTAAAGAGGCAGATGTACTCTCCTGCTCACCTGAAGTAGACTAATCAAGCACAGCGAGAGCTGCAGGCAGAGGTGGAGCGCTCCGCTTTCAGAGCAGCTCTGGAGCGATCAGTTTGTTTGTGGTCAGAACATGAAGATGACCAAAGCTGTTGTTGGACTAGGCCAGCTGCCATAACATTAAACACTACTGCAATGCTGGCACCAGCGTGTGAGGAGCTCCACTGCTGCTAATCGATCCTCTGCTCGGTTTACTTCGCTGTGTTGTGCACGTCAGGCTCCCACTCGTTTATTCTGACCAATCAACACGCAGCTCTGAATATTCAGCTCTCAGGCCATCTGGATGTGGTCATGTGACGCTTTCTGGTTACTTCCAACTGTTTTGAGTTCAGAGCAGTCAGTCTGGTGTGAAATGGAGCCAAAATGGCTGCAAAGTACTGCAGTGTATAACTTCACACTTTACCCAGAGGAAACGCACCACCGGTGTGAACGCCAAACTAAAGACATGAGCCTAGCATTTTAAAATAAACACATTAATATGTGTGTGTTGATGTGCACACTCGCTTTAGCGCCCTTTATTCAGTCACGACACATTAAACGTCAGCGATATTCACACACAGTGATCATCATGTGTGTGTGTGTGTGTGTGTGTGTGTGAGCCTTAACATGCTCAATCATTAATTAGTTTACAGAGGCGTTTACCCACGGGGATTAAAAACTCAGTTTATCAGTCATAATTACACAAAGACAGAACGCACCTGCAGAATTAAATATGTGTAAGTGTAGGATTATTCTTCACTCTTCAGATTTATTTCAGTAATATTATGGGATAATAATAATAATAATAATATAATAATAATAATAATATTTTGGGCGAGGCAGTGGCGCAGTAGGTAGTGCTGTCGCCTCACAGCAAGAAGGTCGCTGGTTCGAGCCTCAGCTTAGTTGGCATTTCTGTGTGGAGTTTGCATGTTCTCCCTGTGTTCGCGTGGGTTTTCTCCGGGTGCTCCGGTTTCCCCCACAGTCCAAACACATGCGCTATAGGGGAATTGGTTAGGCTAAATTGTCTGTAGTGTATGAGTGTGTGTGTGTAAATGTGTGTGTAGATGTTTCCCAGAGATGGGTTGCAGCTTGAAAGGCATCCGCTGTGTAAAAAATTGCTGGATAAGTTGGCGGTTCATTCCACTGTGGCGACCCCGGATTAATAAAGGGACTAAGCCGACAAGAAAATGAATGAATGGTGATTCCACAGTTGCTATGGAAACACAAGAACTACAGTAACTGATCTCCTGTGGTGATTCTACAGTTGCTATGGTAACACATTAACAACAGTGATTGATCTGTTGTGGTTATTCTACAGTTGCTATGGTAACATTAACAACAGTGATTGATCTGTTGTGGTGATTCTACAGTTGCTATGGTAACACATTAACACAGTGATTGATCTGTTGTGGTGATTCTACACACGTGTTCTGATATATTAGCTAATTATCTATGCTCATACACCAATTAAGCATCAGCTCCACTGTAAGGGAGATGAATGGGATTTGCTCCTAAACACTAATGCTAATCTCTCTTTAGTCTCCACGAACGTCTTAATGTCTCGAGGTAATCTTCAGTGTAAATCTGATCGCCTCTATAGATGATATGTGCATCTTCAGAAATGAAATCCTTCTGTAAATGCAGATATCTGAGAGAGAGAGATGCTGAATGCTCCGTCAGTGTCCGTCTCGTCATCAGAAATGACGCCAGAGCTGCTCCTGATCGTGCATGTCCTCTGCTGTTCAGAGACACTCTGTACCCACACACACACCACCATCATCATCACCATCATCATCATCATCTGATCGTCTAATAACAACAGTCCGATGGTGTTTTCAGATGCAGAAAGCTGCACTTTACCGGCAGAAATGCTCATTCTCCACACATCTGTCATCGACACATCAGCAGATTGATCGAGCTGTCAGACTCTAACGCACAAACCGGACACACACATCCTCCCCGACGGTGTGTGTGTAAGTGTGGAGAGTGAAAGGTGTCGACTGATCAGAGTTTTGATAACTGTAATGAGTGAATAAAAGCGAATACCTGTCATAACCGGTCGGAGCTGCTGCTGTTCCTCGCTCCGCTCAGCCGCCGATGCGCTGGATGATGCAGTGCGCATGCGCAGCTCAGCGCTTCTGTGAGTCACCTGGAGGACAGAGAGATGCTTTGCTCTCTTTTTTCTTTCCTGTATTATGAAATACAGCCGAGGTCACAATTATTCGCCCTTCCGTGAAATTTAATGCTTCAGGATTTTTTCTTTTTGTCTCTATATTTGAGAGGGCATTGTTTAATCTCTTGTGTAAATGATCGCAGTGTGTTAGGGTTTGGGTTGTATTCAAATTTATGGCAAAAACACATTTAAATATTTGATTTAGGCTTTTCAGACTTTTTAAGCTTTTGGTGCTTAACATACAGCATACAGTGTACATGTATTATACATGCAGCATGAAGATATTCATTTATTCATTTTCCATCTGCTTAGTCCATTTATTCATCAGAGGTCACCACAGCAGAATGAACCGACAACTATTCCAGCATAAGCTTTTTTTACGCAGCAGATGTCCTTCCAGCTGCAGCCCAGTACTGGGAAACACACACACGCACACACACACACACTTTTTTCAATTTAGTTAATCAATTCCTCTATAGTGCATGTGTTTGGACAATATGTTCAGTATATTTTAATATATTATCAGTATCAGTATTATCCAGTAATCAGTCTCTAAAGGTACACACTTTTCAAATACAATTTGCTGTAGTTTACGTTTGAACATTGTGTGTGCATTTACTGCATATCTGATATATCCTGCACCTTTGTATTCCTCAAGTAATACTGCAGTGATTTTGACCTATTCTATCGTGAAATATTGACTAAGAAATTAACTAAAGCGATTAATCTGCTGTGGGGTTTCTACAGTTGCCATGGTAACAACAATTATAGTGATTGATTGTTGTGGTGATTCTAATGTTGCTATGGTAATAACAATTATAATTGATCTGTTGTGGTGAATCTATAGTTGCTATGGTAACACAACAACTACAGTAATTAATGTTTTTGTGATTCCACAGTTGCTATGGTAACAATAACTACAGTGATTGATCTGTTGTGTTATTCTACAGTTGGCATGGTAACAGCAACTATAATAACTGATCTATTGTGGTGAATATACAGTTACTATGGTAACAACCACAGTATTTGATCTGTGTTGATTCTACAGTTTCTATGGTAACAATAACTATACTGATTGGTCTGTTGTGGTAATACTACAGCTGTTATGGTAACACAACTACTATAGTAATTGGTGTGTTGTGGTAAATCCATAGTTGCTATGGTAACAACAACAAGAGTAATTGATCTGTTGTGGTGATTCTACAGTTGCTATGGTAACACATCTAAAGTAATATAATCTCTTGGCCCAGTGGTGTGGTGTTGTTCTGGGTGGTGTCAGCTGTTCATTCTTCTGTCTCTGTTATAGTGAGTGTGTAAGAGGACCGATCCTGTTGTTGTCTCAGTGAATCATCAGATGAATGACTCCTCAGATGAGAAGTGTCGAGTCTACACTGAAAATGACGCTGGCTCTTCATCAATACGCTGTAATTAAGAGTGTAAACCACACAGCGGCCTGATTCATGTGCTCCTCGTCTACTTAATGCCGCTGTTTCACACACACCGTTACTCTGAGCTGAATTATTTACGTCCTCTGCTGGTTTACAGTGAGCTTTAGGCCTGCAGCCATCCTCATAATGAGGAATCAATAACCCTGCGCTCATACACACACACACACACACACACACACACACACACACACACACACACGCACACACACATTCCTCACATCCAGCACAACACCTGGCTGAAGCTTTCTCTACTCATCACCTATCCTCTGCTGGAGTGTGTGTGTGTGTGTGTGTGTCCCTGCGGCGCCTGTGATTCGGAGCCTGGAGACGGCAGTAATGTTTTTATCATGGAGCTTCTATAGCAACGACTTTACAATCTGCTGCTCCTTGTAAAACACACACACACACACACACACACACACACATTTACTCTGCTATGCTCTCTTTCAGCATATTGAGCACACTGTTTAAATAATGTTGAAGTATTATGGCTGGTTCTATAGTTGCGGGTCTATACTGAAAGTCCTGCTGCAGTGGAGACAGAATGAGAGAGAGATGACCAACTTAAACCAGCTTGACCAGCCTAACTATGCTGGGAGCCCAGTCTAAACCAGCTAAGTCCAGCTTAAACCAGGCTGATCAAGTTGGTTTTAGCTGGTCATTTTCCAGCCTGAACAGCTAAGACCACCCTGGAAATGACCAAAACCCCTCCAAAACCAGCCTGGTCAACCAGCTAAAACCAGCCAACCAGCCTAGACAGTTTAAACTGCTTTTTTTTTCAGAAGTGTTCACAATCACTGCTGTTCCTCTGGGTTTATTTATTCGGCCGTGTTTTTGTTCACTGCTGTTTCCTGCACCTCTGTGATTTTAATCATGGCTGTGTCTCGGTGTTCCCGTCGGCTGCTGTTTCTCCGCCTGAGTCTCTCAGTGTTTCTATGGCTACAGCCAGACAAAGGTGACCTTCTGGATCCGCATGATGACTCTTCTACACACACACACACACACACACACACACACACACACACACACACACACACACACACACACACACACACACATCTTAGCTTAAACACATTCACACCCTACACATGTAAACACAGTACAGATCAGGATGAGGATTAGACCACCTGACGCAGTTCAATATTATTTCTGGAAACTATTGAGATATGTGGACTGGTTAACAAGATAACAGCAGTTGTTCTAGTGTTCTGTGTGTTATTGATGGCTTTGTAAACTCACAATTTCAGTTAGCACTGCCATATTGCTCAGCTGTAACACAATATGCTAGTATGCTAAATGCTAACTCATCATGAAGATCATTCCATACCTAATGCTTACAACATGTTATAATATATGCTATATATCGCACATGCTGTCATTGTGTTACACTAGAAAAAAACAACAACACGTTAGCATTGTGTTTATTCCTGCTAGAAACTCACAGGTTATGTGTTAAAACATGCTAGAAGTATGCAGATCATCTAAAGATGTGTCTTATTTAAAGTTTCTAGTCTGATAATGTAAAAAAATCTTCCCCTGCTAGCAGGATGATTAGGTTTACTTCACTGTAATGCTATCAGAATGTGTGAGCAACATGTTAAAATATGCAAGTAAAGTGCTAACATCTTAGCATTGTTCATTTCTAGAACAAATTGGTCAAGAATAATAGTAACTTTCTGTCTTTTTTTCTGCACAGTGTAACTAAGGCTTGAGCTTTAAATAGGGAAATTATCAAATATCTTTTTGAAACTTTTGTACATAATGCTAACGGTCTAATCCGATTCAATTCACTATGCTAAGCTAAGCAGTTTTCTGTTCTTAGCTGACAGGAGCGGCACCCGGTGTGCTCTTCTGCTGCTGTAGCCCATCCGCCTCAAGGTTGGACGTGTTGTGTGTTCAGAGATGCTCTTCTGCAGAGCTCGGTTGTAGCGAGTGCTTATTTGAGTTACTGTTGCTGGAACCAGTCTGGCCATTCTCCTCTGACCTCTGCCCTCATCAACAAGGCTTTTGCGCCCACAGAACTGCCGCTCACTGGATATTTCCTCTGTCTCGGAGCATTCTCTGTAAAGCCTAGAGATGGTTGTGCGTGAAAATTCCAGTAGATCAGCAGTTTCTGAAATACTCAGAGCAGCCCGTCTGACAGCAACAACCATGCCACGATCAAAGTCTCTTAAATCCCCTTTCTTCCCCATTCTGATGCTCGCTTTGACCTGCAGCAGATCCTCTTGACCAATGTCTACATGCAGTGAGTTGCTGCCCTGTGATTGGCTGATTAGACATTTGCGTTAATCAGCAATCCGACAGGTGTACCTAATAAAGTGTAATAATAATTATATATTTGTCATTTTCAATTTCTAGATATGAGTTTAGGTTTTTAGATGGATTTTCAAGTTAAATCAATGTTTGTAGTGTATTTTTAAAATGACTAAATGTAAAGCTTCATGAAGGACAGAGCAGCTGCTGGAGCTCACGGGCTGCTGATGTTGATGTAGAGTCAGTACAGTACTGTAGACTCCTGCATCTCAGTCTTGTTTTCTGCTTCCAGATGAATAAAATCCGAGATATAGTCGCAGACGTCGTCTGAATCTGCTCTGAGTGTGTGTCTTCACTCTGGAATTAGATTTGACCCGCATCATTATTCTGTCTATTCCGAGTTCAATATTTCCATTAACACATGATATTGGCTTTTCAGGGAGGAATGCTCTCTGTCAGTCTACGTCTGTATTCATCTCTGATTATATTCTAACCTGATTCCGAATCCGCAATAACCCGCTCTGAGTCTGAGACAGAGCATCATTCACCCTGACTCTGGCGGAGACGCTGCCGTCTTCATCTCCCCTGGCACTGTTCATATTAACAACACAGCTACTGACGCTGCACCGCTGACTCACACACACACACACACACACACACACACACACACACACACACACTCACACACACACACACACACACACACACACACACACACACTCAGACGACGGCTAATGATCAGTTAATCAGATCAGATTGTGCAGTTGATAGTGTATTCTCGGTAGTGTCCAGCAGGTGTCAGTCTCAGTGTGCTGCAGTGTTGATCTGCTGACTGACCATCAAGCAGGCCCAGTTTAGCTCCAACCCTGATTAAACACACCTGATCAATCTAATTGAGTGCTTCAGGAAACACACATGCATCTCATTTTCTGTCATCATGAGACTCCACTCATGATTGTGAAGTGCTTCTGGTGTATGGCCATACATGATAAAATCCTCTATATAAAACATTTTACTAACACAGTGTGCAGAGAGAAGCATATCTCTGCTGCTGAACATCAACGCGTCGTGTTCACGCGTGTTGAACGCAGCTGAGCTGAGATCATGGATAAAACACAGCCGTCTGACGCTGAGATGAGGAGATGCTGCTGCTTTAACACACTATTATTCATCAGGTTAGACACGCTGGCGGATCGTCCATGCCTGATGGAGA